AATAAGCTATGGTGCGAAATAGCCTTATCGAAAAAAAAATGTTTGTGACAAAAGCAGTGGCCAGCAGAATTTGAGTTTGACTTTTTCAATTTTCTGAACGTTTTCGTCGCGCTGTATCTGAAACTAACTTGAACCATGTGAAAGAGCCTAACTTAACCTCTTTTTCAACTTATTGCACCTATGATGCATCAAAACGACGATTTCGACATCTTGATCTTATGTTGTCGAAACTAAAACCGATTTCGACATACTGAGGATATTGTTTGCCTCATTCCAAGAATTAGTTTATTTCCCGTCGCTTCTCTTCGTAAAACCTGCGTTCTTTCGTCGATTGATGTCGCTAATCTTTTCAATCTGTGTGTGTACTTTGCGGGATGTCAGGTTGGCGAATCTAGAAGAAGGATCCTTCACATGGAAGTAGGTTCTGTTATTTAGTATGTATATCAACACGCTGTTTCAAGGACTGTTCGAAGAAAGGGTATGTGAGCTGCAGCTCGAAAACGAGCACATTCGACGGTTTCAGAGACGAGGAAGAGGAAGAGGTAATCTTAGGTAATTTTTCAGTGTAATGAAATTTTATCAGAACAGCTCACGTTGGAGCCAGCGAGGCACTGCAGGAACCAGGGCAGTCAGCAAACACAGGTGGATTGCACACCATGTAATATCACTATCGACTTCGGAATCTTTGCTGCTATATCGTCGTCCCACGAAATTATCAAGACCATCATCATCATCTGGGCGCAGACAATGCCGAAATTTGGCGCTTGAAGCCTCTCCTCATTAGCCTAGAAAGACACCTACAGGACGGAGGAGTTGTCGTTTTCTTCCCGTCTCCATACGAGGATTGAATAGAGGCGCGTGGGGGAAATGTGGTGCGAATACGCACGCTGCATTACGGGTCCCGAAAGAATTTTAAGCTTTGGTTATGACAATTACTGCTGAACGTGCTGGACCCAGTTCTCCACACCCATCCGGCAATCTGCTTGGTCACCACACCCCGGTGCATTTGTAATTCGGCCTTGACGGATAAACAATTTTTTGAGAAAATGCCATGACCCTAACCTACCTGTCCGCCTTCCTGAGTCCAACTTTGCCTCTAGTGTGTTATGTGTTTTTTTCACAAACAGTGAATTGATATGTTGCACGCTTGAACAGTAGATTAGGTGGGCATGACAGAAGTATTCTTACAGCTGGACTTGCAATCCTAGAAAAATTTGAGGTTTGTAACTCAAGTGAGCTATGCAACACAGAAGAGAGAAAGTCAGATAAAGTTTGATGAAATCAAAAAGGGGAGCCGCTGAGAATAAATTCCTATGGAGGTGAAGGTTAAGTCGCCATGTATCGGCTAGAAAAAGTTCCATAGTAGCGCAGTCGAAAAATGAACTTTATCAGGTATTCAGGTAAGCTCCTTTTCCAATTAATACAAATAAACACATCAGAGCACATCCGAGGAGATTCAAGTTGCGCTATAGCTTTCTTTTCCTACAGCAGATCCTTCGCTATAGCACTGGTTATATCAGATAAACCTTCCTTTACAAGATGGTGAAAAAAAGTAGATCACGAGAGGACCTCGCTGGCGAGATATGGAGCGTCAAGTAGAACCACCCAAAATTTTTTTTACTAATTTTTATTTTTTTATTAACTTTATTTTTTCTGCTATAACTCTTGCGCAAATAAACGAATAAACAAGGAGCGGATTCAGAATTCACTCTTCAAGATTTTTCGACTGTTACTGGAGGTCCTAATACTGGAGGTTCCATGACTTTTTGGTCCTGCGACGGCAGGGAGAGAAACGACTGAGTCATGCGATT